GCCCGATGCGGGACTCGATCCCAGGACCCTGGGATCATGACCTGAGCTGAAGGCAGTCGCTTAACCAACTGAGCCACCCAGGTGCCCTGAATTGTGCACTTTAAAATGGTTTTAGTGGTAAGTTTTATGTTATGTGCATTTTATCAGAAAGAAAGGAAGAAGAAAAGGAAGGAAGAGAGAGAGAGGGAGGGAGGAAAGGAAGGAAGGAAGGAAGGAAGGAAGGAAGAAAAGAAAAGAAAAGAATAGAGGGGCTCCTGGCTGGCTCAGTCGGCAGAGTATGCAACTCTTGATCTCGGGGTCCTAAGCTCAAGCCCCAAGTTTGGTGTAGATTTACTTTAAAAATAAATAAATAAATACAATATTAGAAAAAGAAAAGCCAGCGTGGAAGCATTTATGGAATGAAAAGCAAATGTAAAAGTTAGAAAGACAAACACAAATGTGTTTGCAAATGCAGAAAATATCTCAGGAAGGAAAAGCAAGAAATTGATAATACCTTTGAGGAGAGAACCAGGGTGGGGGTGTGTGTGAAAGTGGGGGCGGAGGGGGAACACTACCAATGCTTCTTGCACACAGCACATACATCAACTACAGGGTTCCGCAGCTATCTGAAAGTAGAGCATTTCCGTGAAACCCGTAGTAAGCAGAGATGGCCAAGAAGCCATCAACATTCATTTATATGGAAAAAATTTTGAGCATTCCCAGACCCCCCAAAATAACCTCTCTCAGGCTTTTCTGGTACCTGAGGACACGTCCTGTTAACGGATGCACAAAATAAGTCAAAATAAAACCCAGATGCTCACAGCCACAGTTCAATGCTCTGGCAGCTCGATGCTGGGATGCTGAGGGGAATTCTCAGAGGAGGACCCTGGCTGCCTCTATCAGGACTTGCTGAAGAACAAACACTGAAGGCTAGCTTCGCTTTTCACCCTTTTCCTTAGAGCAGAAGTCCCTTCCGATTTCTTTCAGTTAGGGATAACAGGTACTAATGTGTAGGTATTTTGTGAAATCAAGTGGGATAATGTGAACTTTTGAAATGTTGGGTATACCTGTGCTCAGAAATAAATACAATACAAAAACTTTTGCTTTTAAAAAATGCCACTAGGGACGCCTGGGTGGCTCAGTCAGTTAGGTATCTGCCTTCGGCTCAGGTCCTGATCCAGGATCCTGGGATCGAGTCCCACATCGGGCTACTTGCTCAGCGGGGAGCCTGCTTCTCCCTCTGCCTGCTGCTCCCCCCTGATTGTGCTCTCTCTCTCTCTGACAAATAAATAAATAAAATCTGAGCGCCTGGGTGGCTCAGTTGGTTAAGCGACTGCCTTCGGCTCAGGTCATGATCCTGGAGTCCCTGGATCGAGTCCCGCGTCGGGCTCCCTGCTCGGCAGGGAGTCTGCTTCGCCCTCTGACCCTCCCCCTTCTCATGTGCTCTCTCTCATTCTCTCTCTCTCAAATAAATAAATAAAATATTTTAAAATAAATAAATAAATAAATAAATAAAATCTTTAAAAACAATGCCACTAGAGTGTTGTTGTTGTTTTTAGGGGGAGAGGGGGCAGAGGGAGAGAGAAAAGCTTAAGCAGGCTCCCTGCCCAGCGCAGAGCCTGATGCCAGGCTCGATCTCACAACCCTGAGATCATGACCTGAGCTGAAATCAAGAGTCAGAACCTTAACTGACTAAGCCACCCAGGTGCCCCAGTGTTTTTTCTTTAATTGCGGTAAAATACACACAACATAAAATTTGCCGTTTTTAAGTGTACCGTTCAGTAGTGTTAAAAGAACATTCACGTTGTCATGCAATTAATCTTCAGAACTCTTTTCATCTTGTAAAACTAAAACTCTGTCCCCATTAAATGCTAATTCCCCATCCCCTGTCCCCCAGCCCACCATTCTACTTTCTGTCTCTATGAATATGGCTACCTTAGGGACCTCATATAAGTAGAATCTACAGTCTTTGTCTTTTTGCGACGGGCTTATTTCAGTTAGCACCGTATCCTCAAGGTTCACCCACGTTAGGGCATGGGTCAGAATTTCCTTCCTGTTTAAGGCTGATAATAAACCATTGTATGAATA